ATGATAATGAGCGAGGGTATCCGGGGCCCAGGCTCCTCCCAGGGCAGGAGACACGGGCCAGCGCAGCCCCCCGTGACGCACCTTCCCAGCGCCTCTGGTGCTGGTCTTTGGCTTCCTTCTCTGGCTTCTCGGCCTCCTCCTTCGCTGTTCGCAGAGCCTCCACCTGCTCCTCCAGGGACTTCTTTCCGGCCTGCAGCTCAGCGAGCTTCTCCTGGGTGCGCACAAAACAAGACGCTCCACCTCTCCTTGCGGTCTGCCTCCCTCCTCATGAGGGCCGCCCCCCTGCCGCCACTGCACAGGGCGGCCACGGGCCATCTTGCCCAAACACACACCTCCCTGGGTCTCCCCTCCCTGCGGCTCCCCACAGCTTGCTGGACAGAGACCTGAACACCCCGATGCAGCCCCCAAGGTCCTGTATCACCCGGCCCACCTCTCCGGCATCTGCCCCCCAGCTATCTCGGACGGTAGGATCCAACTACCTTGCCCAATGCTTTCTTTCCCTCTGTCTAGAAAGCTCTGCATGGCCAACTCTGTGTTACCCTACAGATTTCGTTTTAGATAGAGGTCTCCTCCTCCTCCAGAAGGCCTTCCCTGCTTTCTGCCCCCGCAACAGGGGGAAGAGGAAGAGCAGACACGAGTCTCCTCTATGCCTCAGAGCCTCAAATGTCCCTTTTTCCAGGGGCCCTGGGTGTCACTTTGTCATCTGTCCCTCTCACTGGACATGACCTTGAGGGAGTCCCAGTCTCCTGCCCGGCACATCCTGAGCCTGGGCCTCTCGTGGACATTTCAAGAAGGAATGACTGTGACACGCGGATGGGGCCCAAGCTGGCGCCCGATCCTTTTCCTCCTTAGACCTCAGCCAGGCCTGCTTCCAGGATCCGCCTACCCCCCTGGGGCAGGGACAAAGGTCACTTGGAGCCAACCTCACTGCATGGCCGCCCCACCAGCCCCTGAACTCAGAAAGGACTCTGCTGCCCCCTTGAACCCGGGAAGGACCTCAATGGTCAGGGCACGGAGGGGAGAAAAACTTGGAACCTTCTCTGGGCAGCGAAGTAGAGCTAAAGCCCTCGTGCAGAGTCGGGCAGAAGCCCAGGAGCGGGGGGGGGGGGGGACTCTGACCCATGTAACCGCCAAGGGGATGGCATGGGGGGTACGGGAAGAGACACCTGCCCCGGGGACACAGTTTCCTCCAGCCCTGGTGGCACCCGCCCTGTTAAACCAACCACTGCGCTGATGACATCCTGAGTTGTCCCCCAGAACCAGGGGGGGTGGGGGGGGTGTCACGTGGCCATCAGCCTCATCTTACAGATGTTGGCGCCATGGAACCCGGAGGCACAGAGAAAGTCGTCGCTCCTCTGAGCCCAAGTCAGCCTGCTGCCCGGGGCCCCACGGGACACCTGCGCTGACCACCACCCGGGAATGGACTAACTGATGACTAAACACCCAGCAGACAGACGAGGGAACCAAGGCACGCCCAGCCCATCACTGGCCCCAGGGCTCCACCAGTCAGAGGCAGGAGTCAATCCAACCCAGCCCGGCCAGCCAGCCCATGGCTCCAGGCCTCAGGGCCCAGATGGTCCCGGGCGGACCCCCTGGGGGTCCCTCACCTGCTTCTCCTCCCGAGCCTTCTTCCAGTCTTCGATGAGAATCTTCTTCAAGCGGAACCCCTCTCGGGTGACCTCTGCCATCTGCTGTATTGTCTCTCTTTCCTTACGGCCCTTCTCTCTGGGGTGCGGGGGACACACAGGCACCATTAAGGACGTCCTCAGGGCTCACCAGGTCTGCCTCTTCCTAAAGGGTTCAGCCCATCTGCTCCCCTCTGCCCTTGGGAAGATAAAGGGCAAACCCCTCCCCCCTTCCCCAAGCTCTCTTGGCTTCAGAGCCCATGACCCTTGTCCTTGGGAGGAGAAAGAGTAGTCACAGCTCACCCACCCAGGGGTCTAGGGAAGGGGCTGGGGCACACTGGGAAGGGGGGCTAGAAGCTGGCTCCCAACAGAGAAGGAAAAGCACTGAGATCCCAGACTCCCAGACAAAAAAGACCACTAACTGTATCATGCTTGCCCCCCAACCACCCTGTACTTAAAAGATCTTCAGAAGATCTTCTACACAAGTCTGGGACTTACAGCTGCTCCGCAAAACGAAGGTGGCTTGGCCATCTGCCTTCAACTGACAGGAGTCAAGGGACACCTGTCCTTTTAGGAGCTACAACGGCCACCACTGCCTACGGCCTCATCCTCAGCTGGCTTCAGCCGTTTGGACTACCTGCCTGTGGGCATTTCAGTTTTCAGGTCCTGCCGCAACAGGGCGGCGATTACAAGATCAGAGTCTTGCACGGGACCGAAAACCTGGGTTTGGGGTTCAAGTCCTGGCTCGGAAATCTCTGAGCTATGGGATACCCTGGGGAACTCATTTTTTTTTTTTTCATTCTAAACTTGAGTCTCCTCATCTGTTGAATAAGGCGACAATTGCGCCTGCTCTGGGCCAGAGGTCACGTGGCAGCGTAGCGCCTGCTCACAAGGCACGTGGCACAGATATGCATAAAGCAGAAAAGAGACAGGCCCGGTTCACTGGCCAGGGCAAGGCCAGGGGACGCCACCCACATACTTGCAGGTATTCTCACAGACAATCCCGCTGTTGTATTCATCTGTACCATCACAGCAGTCTGCGAGCAGAAGCAGGGATGCGATCAGACCTGGCGGTGGCTCCCCCTCCTCACTTCCCCCCAAACCCCCCACCCCTGGGGGGTGATCTCATTCACCGCAAACTCCATCGTTGACCCATCGGGAGGAGATGTACAGAGGCTTGTAGCCGGTGTTGGTGCAGTGGAAGCTGCCGTTGGGACAGGCGGCTGTGCCTGTGGGAGGAAGGGAGACTTTCTGGGCTGTGCTCCCGGCCAGCGTGGCCATCTACCCACAGACAGACCCCCCCCCGACGCAGGTGCACGTGGACAGCACGTGAAACGTAAGAGTACGACCGATGCCCAGGCAGGGAAGGAAGGGCAGTCCCACGTTCGGGGCCTCAAATAAAACTCCCCAATGCCTTCTGCTGCTTTTCTGCGCCCAGGTGCCCAGAATAGGGCCACGCCAACCACTTCATCCCTCAACTCCACTTCTGTCTTTGCCTGTCTTGGGGGCCCCCTTGCTCTCCCATCTCTGGGTATTGGCACGTGCCAGCACACTTCGGGCCTCAGTTGAGACCTCACTTCCTGACCCTCGGGTTGGCTGGGGACCCCTCTGGGCTCCCACAATGGCTGTGACCCTCGTTGCCAAACCACTAACCACTTGGTTCTGGGCCTGCTTTGCCCCACTCAACCAGGGAGCCATGTGAGGGCAGGCCTAGGTCTGTCTTGGTCACCACCACCCGGCCGGGTATTTCCCAGGCACTCAAAAAACATATGAGTAAATGAATGAAGGAAGGAAGGAAAAAAAAAACAAAACTCACCTGGCTCATCTGAGCCATCCTTGCAGTCACAGTAGTCATCATTGACCTGATCAAAAGGGATGGTGGTGGAGCCATCCAGGCAAGTGAAAGGCTTGGACTCGTCGTAGAAGTGATGGTCTGGAGACGGGGGTAAGGGCTCAGCCCAGGGCAAGAAGCCCTGTCAACCGAATGGCACCTCTGCCCCACACCCGGCCGCCGAGGATCGCCACCTTCCCTACCCAGAGGCCAGGAAACTGAGGTAGAAGGCTCCAAAGTGTGTATCCCAGGAGCCGAGTCGGGCCCTCCCGCACCCTGCTGCCGCCTCCAGCGGCCGACTCACTGGTGAGGGAGACGCCCCGGGGTCGCTTGACCTCCACGGCCCAGCACAGGGGCAGCAGCAACAGCAAGAGTAACATCACGCCGGAAGCTCGCAGGCCGGAAACAGGTTCTGGGGGAGGAAGCCGGCTGCGGGGAGATGTGCTGTGCCCCCCACGCTGCGGCAAGAAAGGGACAACAGGTCAGCGGGAGAGGGCTGCTTCCAGCCAGAGGAAGTTACCTCTTCCTCCAGCCAATTGGATTCCTCCATCGCTTCCGCGCAATGGGGGCTCACTTTGCTTCCGATTTGGGGTGGGGGGCGCTCCCCAATCTGGGCCAGAGGGAGTTTCACTTTGCTCATATCAGTAGTGGGAAGCTCAAAACCTCTGCTCCCTGAGGGTGGGGGTGGGGGTGGTGAGAGATCCAATTCCCGCCAATAGGCCGAAGGGGTTAACGGTGTCCCTCTCTACCGACACACACCCTCCGGCAGCCCCCAATAAGAAATTGGGGTGAGCCCCCCGCGCGCTAGTTCACCACCTACACGAGGCCGGGGCAAAGGTCAATATCCACCGCGCCCCCCGGCTCTGCAGCCAACTGTTCCTCCCGAAAAAAAGAAAGCGGAAATGTGTCGGACTCGTCACTTCCGACATCACGCCGCGCGCACAAAGTGGCGACTCAAGGGTGCCATGTTGGGAGTGGCAAATGGAGGAGGGGCTGGGCTGGAACCCAGACGGCCATCTTGAATAGGACTGTGAAGCCTTGGAGGGGATCGTTCTGACGGTTCCCGCTTAATGGCGGCACAAGGTGCTTCCATCTTGGGAGTGGCAGATTCTGCCGCCGGAAAAGAAGGTTCCTGAAAAACGCCCTCCAACGCCCGCGGAGCGGGGGACAGGGGTATTAAAAAACAAAACAGTCGGGACACCGGACTGGCCCGGTTTGTGGGCCACAACTCTTGATCTCAGAGTTGTGGGTACGAGCCCCACATAGGGGTATATGGGTTACTTAAAAATAAAATCAAATCTTAAAAAAAAAAAAAAAGCACGTGACTCCAAAGTACCCTCCCCCTAACAGCCTGAGGCGCGGCTTTGCCAGCCCCCTATTGGACCGCCCCTCTGCTCCGCGCTAGCCAATTAGAGTGGTGGCGTGGAACGCGGGCGGTTTCCATAGGAACACTGGAAGGAGGAGGGGACGGAGGTTACCTAGCAACCGGGAGATGCTGCGAGGCCCTGCCAAGCAGTAGGCAAGTGCATTCTCCCAGAGCCGTAAGGAACCTACGACGGATCCTGGACACGGCGATTGCTAGTTGCCACCCCCAAATCCCCAGGGGCTCTAGGCCCCATCCCAATCATGACGTCTCCCCTGTGCTCCCGGGGTGCCGCCACCAACGTCCTGCCTTCTCAGGACCCGGGTACGACCTCCAATGTCAAGAGCGGTCAGACTCAGGCCAAGCGCCTCCACCCCCAAGGCAAGGGCGCGGCCCGCACCTCGCTTCGACACCATTTCAAGGCGGGACACCTCCACGCCCCTCAGAGGACGTCCACCGGGCACCCCCAGGTGGCAGAGTTACAAAAGAAGCTACAAATGTTAGGTAAGATGGCTCGAAGGGGCACCAAGAATCAGGAGTCAACATTGTCCACCCAGCCCTTCGACCACGCACGGTGTGACAAGGGTCTTTGCCTGGCATTTATCCAGGTGACCAGCTTCTGAAAGCAAAAATCCGTACTTGTTCATGGCTTTCCTCATCTCTCTTATAAAGTCTCTCCCGGGCTCTGAACCAGCTGGATTGTAGTTCATACTTCTGTGTAATTTCAACTCTTCCATCACGTAGGAGGTGATGAAGAACATAGCTTCTAGTGCCAGATTTTCTGGGTTCAAATCTAGGCTCTGCATATACTGTTTGATCTTGGGGGATGATGAGTAACCTAATAGGTCTCAGTTTCTCTGTCTGTGAAATGGGGATAGTAAGAGTACAGCCCCATAGGTAGTTGAAACGTATAACGTGCTTAGGACAGTGCCTGGCACATTAGAGTAAAGCACTCTAAAGTGTAAACCAGTGTTTCTCAATGGAAGAGGGGGTGTTTTGCTCCCAAATGGACATTTGGCAATGTCTGGAGACATTTTTGGTTGGGAGGGGGGTGCTACTGACATTTAGTGGGTAGAGGCCAGGGATACTGCTCAACATCTGACAATTCGTGGGACAGCTCAAAACAAGGAATCATCTATCCCAAATGTTAGTCACGCCAAGGTTGGAGAATCGTGAGGTACACCGCTATTGTTATTGTTCTGTTATTACCAGAAGGTAATCTTGCACAGTAGTTGAAGGCATGGGCTCCGGAATCCGACTCCCTGTGACCTTGAACAATCTAATAAGCCTGACCCTCGTTCTTCACATCTGTAAATGAGCATGCTATGGGGGTGCTTGGGTGGCTCAGTCGGTCAGGTGTCTGACTCTTGGTTTCGGCTCAGATCATGACCTCATGGTTTGTGGCTTCAAGCCCAGCGTCTGTGCTGACAGCTCAGGGCCTGCTTGGGATTCTCTCTTTCCCTCTCTCTCTGCCCCTCCCCTGCTCAATCTCTCTCTCCCTCTCTCTTTCTCTCTCTCCCTCTCAAAATAAATACACAAATAAAAACTTTTTTAAAATGGGTATGATATGGGGATGGATACATAGCTATTGACATATGGTACTTGATACTTGGAAAGTTCTTTGTCGGGCATCCAACATATAATAAGAGCTCCAGCTGAAGTCTTGTGAAAATATTAAGTTGATGATGAGAGAAAGGGCTTGACGCCCCCCTCCCCCTATAACATTCTGCTTGTGTATCTCACATGACCTCAGAGGGTGACCGGAAGGCCTTTTATGAGAGCAGCCAGTGGAAGATCAAGAAAAATCAGCAGACCATCAAGAAGCTCCAGGAGGTGATCAGGGTGCTGCAACTGCAGCTGGCAGACCTGCTCCAGGTGAGGCTGCCGGAGTGGACAAGAGGGTTCCAGAAGGTGGGGCGGCACCCCCAGGGGCAAGTGGGCTGGGTGAGCGGTGACTGGGCTCCCTTCCTTGCAGGGAGATGAGAAAGTGGTCCAGGCAGTGATTCGGGAGTACAAGTCAGAGAAGCCATACCTGAAGAACCGGACAGCACAGGTTTGTCCCCCCCCACTTCACTCCCCACATTTCCAGCTCGTGTCCCCTCCCCGCTGGACTCTGCCTCCCGTCTCACCCTCTCCTGTCCTTTCTCCACACTGGCTGGCATTCATTTATTCACTCGATTAATCTTTATCCCACACCGACCATGTGCTGGGCATGGTATTAGGTATTGGTCTCTATGCAGTAAAAAAAAAAGATCAAACCTCCACTCCCCAAAACTTCATATCGTAGTGAGGAAAAAAGAGAGAGAGAGAGGAAGGAAGGAAGGAAGGAAGGAAGGAAGGAAGGAAGGAAGGAAGGAAGGAAGGGGAAATACAGAAGCAAAGTATTTCACAGTAGCAACAGAGAAATGAATAAAACAAAACAGAGTGGCTTAATAGAGATGGATAAGGTCAGGGGTTTGCACTTTAGATTTGGGGGTGGGAGTCGGCAAAGCCCCCTCTCTCTAAGAAGGTGATATTTGACCAGAGAATGAGACAGGCAAGAAATGATTTGGGGGGGAAATGCTCCAGGCAGAGGGAACAGCAAGTGCAAAGTCCCTGAGGTCGAAACAAGGCAGTAGGGTGGTTGCATGGGAGGGAGGGAGTGGAGCTCTGTAAGATATGAGGTCAAGAGGGTCAGCCGGGGGGCACCTGGGTGGCTCAGTCAGTTGAGCAACCGACTTCAGCTCAGATCATGATCTCACAGTTCGTGGGTTCAAGCCCTGTATCAGGCTCTGTGCTGACAACTAGCTCAGAGCCTGGAGCCTGTTTCAGATTCTGTGTCTCCCTCTCTCTGTCTCTCTCTCTCAAAATAAATAAAAAACATTAAAAATTAAAAAAGAGAGAGAGTGAGAGAGTCAGCAGGGGCTGAACCTGCAGCAGGCTTTGCTGTCCATGATGAAAAGTGCAGATTTTATGACGAATCAGAGAAGAGGAAAATGGACAGTGAGGATGCAGTGAGGAAGCCAGGTGGGGGTCATCCAGGTGAAGACAGTGTTGGCTGCCCTGAGACAAAAGTGGTGGAAACAGGAAGAGGTATCTCTGGGAAAACCTTTGAAAGAAAACAAAGCATTGCTAGCAAATTGGATGCAGCTGGGATAGAAGGATGAGAATGACGTCAAGCTTTTGGACTTGAGCAGCTGGAAGGATGAAGCTACCATGAGCTTGAAATGGGGAAGATTCAACACGGGCAGATTTGGGAGAAAGATCATGTACTCGATTTAGTTAAATATTTTTAATCTTTATTCATTTTTTAAGAGAGAGAGAGAGAGAGCGAGCGCCCGCGAGAGAGAGCACGCGCAAAATTGGGGGAAGGGCAGAGAGAGAGAGAGAGACACACAAAATCCTAAGCAGGCTCCAGACTCGGAGCTGTCAGCACAGAGCCCAACGCGGGGCTTGAACTCACGAACCACGAGATCATGACCTGAGCTGAAGTAGGACGTTTAACCAACTGGAGCCACCCGGGCGCCCCCATGTACTTGATTTTGGACCTGATGGTTTTGATGTGTCTGTGGAGATGGCTGGAAGGCAGTGTAAATATGGGTATATGAGCCTGTAGTTCCCCGGGGGGGGGGGGGGGGGGGGGGGGGGGGGGGGGGGGGGGGGGGGGGGGGGGGGGGGGGTGGCGTGGTGGTGGAGAGTCTTCAGTGTATGGGTGACCTTTAAAACCCTGACACTGAGGGCACCTGGGTGGCTCAGTCAGTTGAGCAAGCAAGTCTTGATTTCGGCTTAGGTCATGATTCCAGGGTCCTGGCATTGACCCCTATATCAGGTTCCACTCTGGGTATGGAGTATACTTAAGATTCTCTCTCTCTCTCTCTCTCTCTCTCTCTCCACCCCCTCCCCCAACTCTGCCCAGCTCGCCCTCTCTCTCTAAAAATAAAAAACCCCTGAGACTGGAGAGGATCGTCAAGGGGGTGGGTGTGAACAGAGGTGAGGAGAGAAGGCCAAGGAAATCCAGAAGCTGCAGCCAGCGTGGAACACTGGGGAGTGGGGGTCCTGGAAGCCACCAAAGAAGACAATGAGCAGGAAGAGGGGAGCCGCCGGGTCAGCTGCTGCTGAGATCCGGGAGAAGAGAGGGAGGGTTAGGTGGGAGGGTTCAGGCTCCCGCTCTCGGCCCCCGCCCCCCAGCAGGCCCTGGAGTACCTGGAGCACCAGCTGAGGGAGAAGGTGAAGCAGCTGAACGCCCTGCGGCACCAGGTGGGACTGCGGCAGAAGTTGCTGGAAGAGCTCCGGCTGCAGTGCAGCCTCCGCGAGTTGGAGCGGGCAGAGGCGCAAGATGGCAACACTGAGGTGGCCAAGGTGAGGCTGTTGAGATGCAGGGGGAGGGGGAGGGTGGCGATCCTGGGGAGAACTGGAGAGGCGAGGGGACCCGGCCCCGTCCTTGCTTCCCTCTAGACTGTGCGGAACCTGGAGAACCGCCTGGAGAAAGCCCGGATGAAGGCGGAAGAGGCACAAAACATCACCAACATCTACCTGCAGCTGAAGGCCCATCTGCAGGTAGGGACCAGGACGTCTGGGGGTGGGGCGGAAGCAAGTGGGAGAGCCAGACTGCCTAGGGACAGCGGTCACAGGCCTTTCCCCCCTCTCCCTCCTCCAGAAGGAGAGCCTTCACTTGGAAAACCGGCTGGACTTCATGGAGGCTGAGGTGGTGAAGACAAAACGTGAACTAGAGGAGCTGCAAGTGATGAACCAGGAGGCGTTCAACGCCCGAGATATCGCCAAGGTGCCAGCCTGCCAGGCGCTGGGGGTCCTGCACAGACGCCACGGTCTCCGCGGGGACAGAATCGGAACCCCGGCGGTCCCCGAGCCCCTCCCACCTACCTCCCAGGCCCCTGGGAGGTCCCAGCTGATCCTGCTGTCCCCCCTGTCTCTTCTCCAGAACCAGCTGCATCATTTGGAGGAGTCCGTGTTCCGAGAGCGCAAGAATCGCGAGCAGTACATATCCGACTGCAAGAAGCGCGCGGAGGAGAAGAAGCTGCAGACCCAACGCCTGGAGCGCAAGGTGGGCGTGTCCAGGGGCGGGGCTGGGCGGGGACTAGACCTCGCCCTGCCAGGTCCCAGCCACGCCCCTACTGTTGGCCCATACCCTAGACCCTGCCCTAGTCAACACTTGTCCTGACTCCGCGCCCATCTCCACTGGATGCCCGGGCTCCTCCCACATTCCTGGCCTCGCCCTCCCTCTGTCTGATCGCCTCCTTCAGAGGAACCTCCCGACCGTCCCTGACTCGCGGGTCTTCCCCATCCTTCCCCGCCTGAACACCGCCCTCTCCGCTAGAGCTGATCCTGCCTCCAGCCCGCCCCTACTCGCAGGCCCCGCCCCCACTCCTGACCCCGCCTCTTTGCGCCCCCCCTCGGAGGCTGCGGGTCCCCGATCCCCCTCTTTCCGGCATTCCTGGCCCCCAGCCCTGACCCTGGCTCCCCAGCCTGGCCCCGCCCCCTCCAGGGCCCCTATCCCCTCCCCTCTGGCCTCCGCCCTAAATCCTCGTCTGAGAGCTAACTCCAGCCCTGACCTCGACCTGTGCGCAGACCCAGCGCGAGCACGTGCTGATGCAGTCGGAAGATTTGACCCAGGACAACCTGCGCGCCAAGGAGGAGGTGCTGAAGCGGCGCTGGACCATGTACCAGATGGAGCAGCTTTTCGGCAAGGTCAAGGACGCCACCGGCGTGGCCGAAACCCACGTGAGTGCTGCCGGCTGCCCGCAACCCCCCCTGCCCTCCAGTCACGCTCAAACGGAGCCCAGGCCAGTGAAGCCAACACACCCTGCCGCCCCTTTCTGCTGGCTCAGTGCCTCAGTACGCGAACCTGCTCTCTACTTAAAAGACACTCTTGCCTCCTTCGGTTATTGCCCCTTTTCCCGGCCACTCCTCACAGCAAAACCCACTCGAGTTGTCTACACTCGCCACCGTCCCCTTCCTGTTGCATCTTAGGCTAGCGCTAACTCCTTTGGCATGTCACCTCTGTGAGAACTGTGCATTTCGTGTCTCCTGTGGCTCCAGTGCCCGTAACGTGGTCGGGGGCACCGCAGACTGCCCAGTGCCACTCTCAGACCCTGGCAAGCTGGGCCCCTGCCCTGGGGCCTGTGCTTTGCAGCGTTTTCCTTGAAATTTGCTAAAACCCTTATTTCCCACTGGCGGATACTGGTCCCACTGGACCGCAGTCCAGTCTCTCCCCTTTGGACACTCTCCCACTCGCTACTCCTCCCATAGGGCAACCCCCAAGGAGTTCTGGGATCCCGACCTATGGGGTCATCTGGGGCACTGTGGCCAGGCAACTTTCCAGAAATCGACCTGGTGGGCAGATAGCTCCTGACTGGCCATGCTTCTCCCCTGGATTGGGCGAGACTCACAGTGCTAATATGGATGGCAGGTTGATTTTGGGAAGCAACTGTGTTCTCTCCTGCCCTGCACCACACGCTGGTTTCGGCTGACTCAAACTCATTACAGAGACAAGGGCCCCGCAGAAATTGTGTGTTGGGGACCGCCCATCGTCCAGGCAACTCTGAGTCTAACGCACAGAGTCCAGGAACATGGCTGTGCGGAAGTCACCAGCTTAGGCCATCTGTCCCGGGTGCTCAGGGGAAAGGAGGAGGGGGTGCACCCAGGCTCTGCCTCTTACTAGGGCTGGGCGTCCTGCAGGGGGTGGTGAGGCGGTTCCTGGCACAGGGCGACACCTTCACGCATTTGGAGACGCTCAAGAGCGAGAATGAGCAGAAGCTGTGGAGGCTGAAGCAAGAGAAGCAGCAGTTGCAGGAAGAGTTCGAAGGCCTCAAGTACTCGGGGGAGGCCACTCTGGTGAGGTGAGGCCCCAGGGCCCAAGGGAGAGAATGGGGACCCCGGGGCTCCTAGGTGCTCCAGCGGCGACCCTTCCCACCGCCTGTAGCCAGCAGAAGCTGCAGGCTGAGTTGCAGGCGCGCCTGAAGGCGGAAGAGCAGCGACGCGCCGCCGCCCAGGAGAAGCTGGAACTCGCCATCCTGTCGATGCAGATGACTAGGGAAGGCCTCGAACACCTTGCGCGCAAGCTGAACCGCATCACCGTGGTAGGCTCCCCGCCCGGAAGCTCAGCCCACAGCCTCCCACAGCCCGAGAGGGGAGCCTCCTCCAGGGGACCCGCCCTGTGCCCTCTCCGGGATCCCCTGTCCAGGCGCGCCTCCAGGGGGAGCCCTCCCCCACTCCTCAGAGTCCCCACCCCATGTCCCTGCAGAAAAACCCCTTCTCAAGAGGCTCAGGACTTCAGAGACCCTGTCCCGCCTTTACGGCGAAGTCCCACCTTGCCTCCACACCCCAAACCTCATACACCCCACTGCAGTACTCGGGGGGCCTGAGACAGGGGACGCCCCAGCCTGCCCGAAAAGCAGAGTCTTTATTTCTTCCGGCTTCTCACGAGTTAATACTCCCTTCTCCCACTAAGACCCCTCGCTCCACCAACTGTGTTTCTCTGGAGTTCAAAGGCTCTCCCTTCACTTGCTCCGCCCCGTGACAACAGAGGCCCCGCCCCACAGGGGAGAGTACCCCCTCCTGCTGGTGGTCCCTCACCTTCAGAAGCCTAGTTCCGGAGGGAGAAAGCCCCGCCCCACCCCCCGCTGACTCGGCTCCGCCCCGGCCTCAGGAGGACAGCAGGTTCGCAGAAAAGCAGCTGGATCCCAAGGCCAGTGACTATCTGCCAGACCTGCTGGGCCGCGTGGAAGAAAAGCTGCTGAAGCTGCAGGCGCAACTCGAGAGCAAGGACATTGACGAGATGTTGTACCAGCTCGCCGACCGCGAGGTGCCGGTTCAGCCAGGGGGCGGGGCTGAGGGTGCAGGGCTGAGGGTGCGGGGGCTGGGGCAGAAAACCCGGGAGCGGGGGACGCGGGAGACCAGGAAGGAGGCCGTACGGGCCGGGAATGAGTTTTAGGGGCAACGTGTGAGGTTTGAGAAGCCAGGAGAGCTTCCAAAGGGTCCGGGAGGCCACTGGGCAGGGCTGCGGGGGGGGGGGGGGGGGGGGGGGGGGGGGGGGGGGGGGGGTGCCGGGATCAAGGGGCGGGACCCCAGAGACCAGGGGCGGGGTTGGGGATCTCGGAAAGCATAATTCGTCTGGGCCCGAGGAAAGGTAAACGGGAGGGGTGGGCAGAGGTCTCCTGTGGAATCAGGGTATATCCTGGAATGGGGTGAGGAAGGGGCGGGGGGTACAGGACTTCCCTATAGCCTCTACCCCGCCCACCCACCCTCTTTTCTCTCGATCGCTGCCTCCCTCCCTCCAGTTCTACTCCAGCCTAGAGGGAAAGCTGCCCCTGTACAACACCCGCATCGCTCTGCCCCTCTCCAGTCACAAGGACAAGTTCTTCGGTCAGTACGGTCAGGGAAAAGGGGCGGGGCTGGGGGCCCAAGCCGAGCAACGGAGTGGTCCGAGGCGGAGCGTGGGGCCAAGGTGGGGGGGAGGGGTGGTAAAGTATGGGAGGAGAAATCTGAGCCAAGGATGGGAACTTCGACCCCCCTCATTGCCCTCCGCAGATGAAGAGGAGAGCGAGGATGAAGACGGCAGCGTGGTGACCCGTGAGGCGCTTAAGATCCGTTCCCAGAAACTGATTGAATCCCGCAGCAAGAGGCGCAGTCGTTCACGGAGGTCCTAGGCTCACTCTCACACCCACCTGGTGCTTCCGGGCCCTTGCAGAGCTCCCAACCCTTCTGGGTCCAGCCTCAGGCCCACGGGCCTCCTCAAGGACCAAACGCGGCCGGCACATGGGAGCGGAGCGGGCCAGGGCGCCCGCAGTAGAGAAGGGGGCTGTGCCGCCGGACGTTCCCACCGTAAATCTTTCAAGGCGGGGCCGCGCTGGCCTCGGAATCGCGCAATAAAGGTCACCAACCAGCCCCTCTGAGTAGTATTTGCCTCTCCTTGACCCTACGTCGCTGCAAAGACGGCTGCCCCTAAAATCCAGGACCCATAGAGTCCACCTTCTCCAACCAGGGGAGTGAGGCCTCCCATCAGCTGGGGACACAGATTGAGCACCCCCACCTCCAGGAAAATAGGAGATACCTACACACGCGGAGTGGACCAGGCGTGGTCCACTTTGAGGACAGGGTACTCTCTTCCTGGGGCCGCAGACACCCCCCCTCCCCCACTTAGCTATATACACTGGCTCACCACACCCGGAGACACAGAAAAGAGCCCTTCCCTGGAAGAGAGAGGTGTCCTTTCTCCTGGGCACAGATTGATATACACCTAAAGCCTGGACCTCTCCGTGGCCTGGGCTGGGCGCTGGGGTCCAGCTGGGGGCATCCGAGAGCCTTGGGTCCTGCCCCGCCCCTGCACAGCCCGGTCGCCCCGCCCTGCCCCACGGGCCCCAACGCCCGGCCACTGCCCGCCGCCCGTCGGCCCTTCCGCCTCAGTCAGCGGCGCCGTGGAGCGGGACGGGCACTGGCCATGGATCGGACGACGGGCAAGGACCTCGCCCTGGTAAGGGGACCCGGAGTCCCGGACGCCACATCCCTGGCGATCCTAAGGCCCAGAAGCTCCAGGTGCCCGCCTTTCAGACCCTGTCTCCCCTCAAATCGGACCCTTGGTACCGGCAGGGGATTCCCAACCTTGGCCTCCCGGTCCCCGACCCAGGGAGGTGGCTGGTACCTCTTAAGAATGGGGGGGGGGACGTCTCTGAGCTCATTTACAGGAGGGTCCGTGAGCCTGGACCCTAGGACGTCCCCGAATGCCACTCCATCCTCTCGGGACCAGGGGGGAAGGTTCCCTGGGGACTTCCCTAGCCCGGGACGCCGCCCCGAGTTTCGCAGAGTCCGACCGGGAAGGGGGAGTGGTGCTAGAAGCCCCGGCTTAAGTCCTCGCGGGAGAGGGGGGCCGAGGGCTCGGGTCCCCCCCCCCCCCGCCTCCCGCGGCGCCCTCAAGCCCGCCTCCGCGTCCAGGCGCCGCTGCAGGACTGGGGCGAGGAGACCGAGGAGGGAGCGGTGTACAGCGTCTCCTTACGTCGGCAGCTCAGTCAGCGCTCGAGCCCGAGGGAAGGGCCTGGGGGCAGCCAGGTGGGGAAGGGGCCGGAGGAGGCCGGGGGAGGGCGGGGCTGAGTGGAGCAGAGAAGCCTGCAGGTAGAGGTGAGGGCACGGCCGAGGGGCGGGGCTGCGCCCCGGGGAGGGGCGGGGCTTAGAGGCCGACCTGGTTGGGGCAGAAAAGCCCCCTCCCCCCGCGGGAGGACGGCCTGGTGAAGGGGGTCGAGGAGTGGCAGGTTGACAGCGCGCTTCCGGAGCGGGGACCCGGGGACTGAACCGGACGGCGGGGCCTAGGTCCGCCAGGTTTAGTGGGCGGAGCTGGAGGGAGGGGTAGTCGTTAGAAGCAGCCGGGTGAGAGCGGACTGCGGTGGAGGGCTGGGCCCGGGAAGGACCAGCGAAGCGCGTCTGGAGAGCGGGGAGCAGCCTGGCAGGGGTGGGGGCGGGGGGCGAGTGAATGAGGGCGCGGGGCGGGGCCTGGGCGGACGACCGGGTCCTCGGCGAGTTGCGAGGGTCTTTAGGGCTTGGAGCAGAATAATGAATCCAGGAGGCCGGATTCCGAGAAGCGGGCAGGACCAGATGTCAGAGCAGTGCTTAGCGACGGGCATAATGGGAAAGGGGGGTACTCCGGGCCACCCCTTTTGTGTCTCTCTGCCGCCTCCCCCCTTGCCCCGCAGGCCCCCAGCCCCGCTGCGGACGCCTTCGTCCATTACCGCACGAGCAAGGTGCGGGCGCTGAGGGCGGCGAGGCTGGAGCGGCTGGTGCGGGAATTGGTGTCTGGGGACCGCGAGCAGGACCCGGGCTTCGTGCCTGCCTTCCTGGCCACCCACAGGGCCTTTGTGTCCACTGCCCGCGTGCTGGGACTTCTCCTGCCACCGCCGCCACCGCCCCTGCCTCCAGGGTCAGTACCGACGGGAAACCTCCGAGCTCTCACCCCCCCCAGCCTCTCCCCTGGGGGCTGCCTCCTGCCTGCCTTCCCCCTAACCGCCCCCTAGCCTCCCTCTTCACCTGATGGGGGGTTGGGGGGTTGCTTTTCCCAGAATAGAGATCGAGAAGACCGAAGGAGGAGGTCTGCCCGTCAACAAGAACTTAAGGTTGGTCTCCCCTAGGTGAGGGTAGGGGGTCCTAGATGTCCCGGGTCGCATCTGAGGCGTCGGGGCTCCCTGGGTCCAGAGCTCTGGGCTGCGCTCTGAGGCCCTCCACTCCGGCCAGGGCTGTGGTGTCGGTGCTGGGCTCCTGGCTGCGGGATCACCCTCAGGACTTCCGGGCTCCCCCTGCCCACTCGGACCTAGGCAGCGTCCGCACCTTTCTGGGCTGGGCGGCCCCGGCAGGGCCCGAGGCCCGGGAGGCAGAGAAGCTTCTAGGAGATTTCCTGGAAGAGGCCGAGCGGAAGCAGGAAGAAGAGGATTCTGAGGCGCGCACAGGTGAGGGGTAGGGGGCACCCCAGAGTGCCCTGAGCAGGACTTTTCCTGCACGACCCGTCCCCCCCCAGGGCCTTCTCCCCTCACAGAGATGCTACAGATCTTGGGCAAAGTTCTTAATCCTGTCTGAGCCTTCCTCTCCCCACCTGTAAAATGGGGTAGTGACCTCTAGTCTACAGTATCAGCATCTGTCTAGCACCCCTCCCCCCTCACTACAAAAATACTCCGCCACCGGGTCAGGATGCCCTGTGTTTCTAGCTACAACCATTCCATTGCCACTTAGTCTAGGAGCTACAGAGACCCGGGTTCATATCCCAGTCCTGCCATTTGCTGACTGTGCCACCTTGAATAAGCCACTTCCACCTCTGAGCCTCAGTTTCCGTATCTGTGAAATGGGAGTGATAATAGTATTTACCTCATTGACCTCTTTATTCCTTCAGCAAATATGTAGCTACTGGTTCTGGCAAATAACAGTAGACAGTGGCTCCCAGTTCGCTAGGGAGGGTAGCAGTAAACAAGTAAATAAGGGAGCAGTGAGGGCTTGGCAAATCGTGTTATTTTCATTATTGTTATCACTGATTCTCGCTTATTGGAGTCTACCACTTATAATGAAAACGCATAAGGAGGAGCGCCTGGGTGGCTCAGTCGGTTAAGCATCCGACTTTGGCTCAGGTCATGATCTCATAGTTCGTGGGTTCGAGCCCCGCGTTGGGCTCTGTGCTGACAGCTAGCTCAGAGCCTGGAGCCTGTTCCGGATTCTGTATCTCCCTCTCTCTCTGACCCTCCCCTGCTCAAGCTGTCTCTCTCTCTCTCTCTCTCTCTCTCTCAGATATAAACAAAAAAACAAAAGAAAACGTATAAGGAGCCATACTGCTATTCGTTCTCTTGTGGAGACGGCATCAGCAAACTATCTGGTCCTTTGCAGAGCTTGCCAACCTGTGTTGTAGAGAACTTTGTGGGGGAGGGGAAAATATCTACATCCTTCGTTCAGGTGTTTGTTCACTTCTTCAGACCTGCTTTTTCTGATCGTCTCCCAGCAAATATATCCTACTCTGCGTCCTTGCCGGCCTTATTTTTCTGCATAGCACTCCTTGGCTTGTCCCAGACTCTGTCCACAGGGCAGGAACATCCAAGATTTGTTGAGTGAATAATCGCATCCTGCTTATAAAGTATCATCTTTCAGTCGTTTGTGGTCAACCTGAGCCCTATCACAAAAGCATCTAAATCCCTAACCCCCATCTTTTAATCCTCAGATTAAAGTGGCCACATTCCTCTCTGCTTTACAGAGTAGCAGACTTCTCTCTCCCTGGTGACAAAGCCTCAGTTATTTATATATATTTTATCCCTGCGTCTTCCCTCTTGGTCTTTCTTCCTCTGCCGGCAGGATTACGCCAGCTGATTTCAAGGCATTAGAGCTAAATGGTCCAGTGGGGTAGCTACTAGCAGCAGGGAGTTATAGACCTTGAACTTAAAATAAAAATGTCAGCTATTCGTTAACATTGGCCACATTTCTCGGTAGCCATGTTGGACAGCGCGGGTAGAAAAATATCTCCACCACTGTAGGAAATTCTATTCAAAGTACCACGCTAAACTGTGAGTTCTTGAAGTCAGAGGAGAAAATGAACACATATTAGATGCCTACTGTGTGCCCTGCTCTGAGAAACACTGAATTTTAACATCTTTTTTGCGGGGATTAGTTTTCAGTATGGAAAATTTCCGATACACAGAAAAGTAGAGAGAATGGTATAAAGAGCTCTCAGACACCCATTGCTCATTTTCAGCAATTAAGAATTTGGCACGGGCCGCCTGGGTGGCTCAATCAGTTAAGCCTCCGACTTTGGCTCAGGTCATGATCTCACTGTTTGTGGGTTCAAGCCCCGGGTCGGGCTCTGTGCTGACAGCTAGCTCAGAGCCTGGAGCCTGTTTCCTATTCTGTGTGTGTCTCTCTCTCTGACCCTCTCCTGCTCATGCTGTCTTTCTCTCTATATATATCTCTCAGAAATAAATCAAACATTAAAAGTTTTTTAAAAATTAAGAATTTGGCACAAAAATGGTTTTTCAGGATGATTTGAAAACAAATCCCATACTTATGTCACTGCACACGTAAATACTTTGGTATGTACCTCAATCGACAAGGACTGGTTTTAGGATTTTTAAAAAATATAGGGGCGCCTGGGTGGCTTAGTCGGTTAAGCGTCCGACTTTCGCTTAGGTCATGATCTCGCGGTTCGTGGGTTCGAGCCCCGTGTCGGGCTCTGTGCTGACTGCCAGCTCAGAGCCTGGAGCCTGTTTTCAGTCTGTGACTCCCTCTCTCTCTGACCCTCCCCTGCTCACACTGTCTCTCTCTCTCCTAGAAATAAATAAACATTAAAAAAAAAAACCTTATAAAAAAATATATAACCTCGTGCCTACAGTGTTTTCTAACAAAATCAGCAATGATTACTTA